GCTTCTCCTCTCTAATTCCTCCCCCAACCACCAGTCCCTCTCGATATCTTGACCTCTTATTAATGTCACACCGCACACATGCACACACAGCACTTATATAAAACAACCTACTGAATCCATTTCATAGTGCTTACATGTACAGGTGTTTGTTGCTGACCGCTTAGGATTGGACGACCCATAGAGAGCTTCTGTAGAAATGGATTTCTTTCTCTCTCAGCAGCCATTGCTTGCCTGTAGCTCTTCATCTAGGGGTGGGAGCTTGTGAAATTTCCCCCATCTACGTTGGCATGTCATTTAGTGTTGCCATTTGGGGGTCATTTTTAGGCAACCATATTGTTGAAGTTTCATGGGTACAACAATTTCCCTATAATTTCCAAAAAAAAAAAAACCACTATCTAGCAGCAGGCCTCCTTTGGATCTTTTGGATTTTACAAACTTTCTGTCCTCAGGGCTGGAGAGATGGCTCAGCAGCTGCTCTTACAAAAGACTGCGGTTCATATCCCAGCATCCACATGGTGGCTAATAACCATCCATAACTCCAGTTCCAGGGGATCTGATGTCCTCTTCTGACTTTTGAAAACATTGCAAGACATGGGTACACTTGCATACATGCTGGCAATACACTCATACACATAAAATAAAAATAAAATAATAAATAAAGCAAGCTTTCTGTCCCCTCTTCCATGATGTTCCCAGCATCTTAGGTATAGGGGTTACATTTCAGATATATCAGTTGGGGAGGGACACACTACAGTCATTTATTCTCTTTATTTTGACCAGTTGTGTATATCATAGTCTCCATCTGTTGCAAAATGAAGCTTCTTTGATGAGGGGTGGGATGTACACTTATCTTTGAGTTAAATGTTCAAATTATATGGTGTCTTCAGCAATAGCGTTTTACTTTCACGTTCTAAGAGGCAATTAAGGGCAATGGTAATAGACTACACTGTTTTGGGGGTCTCTTTGACTGTTCTAAACAACTCAAAGGGAGGTTTCCCATGTCTGGCACTGGGGTTTGTTAGACAGTCTATAGTTCTACCAGAAAGCATTATCACCTTGTGTGATGTAACTTCACTTGATATATTAGATATAGAATATATTATATGTATTATTAATTGTGTTTACAAATAAAATGCAATTTTTTTTTCAAAAAGAGAGAAACCAAGGCCTGAGTAGAGGAGTGACTTGTTTCTTTTATAAAGGAAATACCAATAAAACAAGAACTAACATTGCTGACCAGCGAACAGCAAGCCTGTGGGCTGGAAGGAGTAATTTAATTAAATAACTTTCCACTTTTCAGACAGAATAACCCATTTACAGCCACACTTCTGAGCTCCAACTCAAGGAGGCTTTATAGCCTTTGCTTTTATTTTTCCTATGATAGAAATAGTACCAAAAGGAGAAAGAAGAAGAGACACAGGAAAGTATGGTCCACGAGTTATATGTGAAATATGAAAATCCTGTGATTATGAACCCTGTAACAAAATGATAAAATTTAACTATATTGGACAGGGGAGATGACACAGCAGGCAAAGTTCTCACCACATAAGCTGAGAACCAGAGTTGAGATCTCCAGCACCCACATAAAAGCTGAGTGAGAACATGGAGGCCATCTGTAGTCGCAGCATAAAGGAAGTAGTGTCGGAATCCCTAGAGCAAGCTGGCCAGTCAGACTAGCAGAGACGGTGAGCTCTAGATTCAGTGAAAATCCCTGCCTCGCTATATGTGGTAGAGAATGATGAAGACATCTAGTGTCAGCCTTGGGCCTCCACACACTTGCATAGACAGGTGCCCATGTGTAACCACATACACGCAAATGCACATACACAGTTGCAGATATACAACACATACAGTAAAAAAAAAGAGTTTGGTGTCATTACTTGTTTACATTAGTTTTGTGTGTGTGCGTGTGTGTGTGCATGTGTTTCCCCTCTTCTTGGGAACTCAGATTTCAGAAAGAGAAAAGACTGATTTCTTTCTAACTCAATCTCTTCCAATGTGTTCTGTGCCTGTTCACAAGGTCAATGTTTTGTTTCCTAATCTGGAGTTTGGGAAGGTCCTATGTTAACTTCTGTTGAGGTGAAATGAACAACAGTAGCAATCACAATAACCTGATGGAAAGTAAATGTATAGGCAAATCTTTTGTTCAATGTTACAGTGCAAAACAGTTATGTATTGTTTTTAGTATTAAGGCCTTCATTCGTTCATTTTTCCCAATATGGAGTCTCCAGATACAATTACTTTTGCAATAAATCAGACTTTCTGAGCTAAATAGTATCTATTCTGGTTTGGCAAATGAGCTATCATGCCATTACCAATATTACTTTTTAACATGTCTCTATCTAACATAGTGGTGACGTTTGCCTCGGGTGTCATTGTCTCTGGTCCATTGTGTATTCTCACAGTATAGCAATAGGTATAGCTCATGGTTCCTTCAGACACGGGGCTGACTCAGATTAAAAAGTCAAAGGCCTGATTCTTTACAAGTTCCTGGTCTGGCATATGGAAGTGACATTGAGTGGGTGTGGTCATCAATTTTACTTACAGCTGTGCCTTAGGGTGCATCCATTACTTATGTCTAAGAATAGCCATTCCTCCTGTCTCTACTTGCTGCATTACAGTCTGGGGCAATTACTCATTTATAGCTGAAAAAAACACCATAATACCATACTTTATTAGTTCTAAAGTCACTCATACCAACAAAGTCTCAGAAGCAAGTAGAAAATAATTAGAAAGTTAGGGATCTTGTAAAATTTATGATCTGTGAAAAGTTTTTTGGAGAGTAAATAATGAGTACTTTAAGTTAAAATCAGTAATTATCACTGAAAAAGAAAGTGATATAGATATCTCTTTAAAATACAAATGGTGAATTGGAGAGATGGTTCAGCAGTTAAGAGTACATACACTCTTGCAGAGGACTTGAGTTAGCTTCTCCGCACCCACATTAGGCAGCTCACAACCACCTATAACTCCAGGTCCTGGAGATCCAATGTATCTGGTCTCCATGGGCATCTATACTGATGTGTGCATACCCCCACCCAACATACATATAAGTACAAATAATGATAATAAATATTTTTAAAAATTTAAAATATAAAATGTTGGGTGGCATTTACTATAAGAGCATATTATTCTATATTATGGCTTTGAGCTCAACCATCTTAGTGAATTACAGTGGATTATAAATAACTTCAAAATGAGCATTCCTCCCATATCTATTAAATACTTTGTTTGAGCTGGTGTGATGGTACATAACTATAATCTCAGTTCTTGGAAGGCTGAGGCAGGACGATCGTTGCAAAGTGAATCTACCTTAGGCTATCTAATGATTTACAGGCTACAGAGCAAGACCCTATCTTAAAAAAAAGTAAATGAATAACTTACTTGAAGCCTGGTGCCTGTGTCATTCTTAAGTTCATTGTCAGTGAATATTTTTTCACATGTTGGGTGGGGTGTACTTTCAGCACTGAGAGTATAGCAGAAAATGAACCCCTTGTCCAACTAGAAATTATTTGTGAGGGGAATTATTAAATACACACAAATTATAGTTTGTGGGAAAGTTCTAATGGCTGTATCTTGAATCTTTCTATTTCCTAGACTATCAATCTCAATGTCTCTGTCTCTCTGGGCTTTCTCCTCTGCTCTCCACCTTGTTGAATGGCCTTCAGGTTCTGTCTTCAGTTGATATGGCCTGGGCTTGATTTTCTGTTTTGATTCACATATACTTCACTGCTCCTCATGCCCTCTGGTTTTGCTTAATGCTTTCCCATCTAACAACCTAAGCCCAGATTTTCCAGGTTGGGTGACATGGTGTCTATACTAGCATTTTGACTTTTGAGGTAATTAATTGGAGTTGTCAATAAATAGGGTTACCTGCAGCTAGAGAACTGAGTTGTGTTTTCAAATGTCTGGCTTTTAACCATTCTGAACCTACTTTTCTGAGGTAGATTTTTGAAAAGACATAAATTCTGACCTGAACTCTTTTTCTTCTTATATATATCACCTTTTTTGTGTGTAGAACAACTTCCTGTTTTCTTATGAAAACATTCAGTTGGTCTCAGACTCTTGCAATCCAACTTCTCATTCAAGTGTAGTCTGAGAGTGGAACTGTGCTGAGAGAAAGTTCTAGCAGTCTTCACCTCTTATTGAGTATGACATGCCCTTTGTCAGTAGTGGGACAGGTGATGGAATATGCTGGTTATTCTTATGCTTAGTCCTTGAAGAAAGATTGAGACATACTCTTTAATGTTATTTATACTTTAATATTGTTACTTTCAAATCAAAAGTGATCAGAGATACTCAAAAAGACATGCACCAATGATTTCAGGTTTTTATTTTTTACTTTGAGTTGAAAAGAATAGAAAGCAAATATTTGTTGGTAAATGTAACACCCAGTGAGAGATGTTTAAAAGAGCATTTTATAAAATATAACAGAAGAAGTACCATTTATTTGTGTGTCCTGGGATGAAATGGCCCTACGTTAGTAAGGAAATGACAAAAGGAAACAAATGCTTTTAAATGCTTCTGTGATGAGGAGAATTATAGCCCTTCTATTTATAACTTGCACAAAGTCCCACATAAAAATAGCTCCAAGAGGCAGATTTTCTCATATCTTAAACACAAAGTTGCTCTCCGTGATTTGAGGAGTCTAATAAGAATAATTGTGTTGGTAAATATTGAAGTTTATCATCTTTTACTTAGTTTTCTTATTGGAAAAAATTGTAGTTTGTGGGAAATTTCTAACAGATATACCTTGAATCTTACTATTTCCTAGACTATCAATCTCTTTGTCTTTAACAGAGAGAATACTTTTCATCTCTCAAACCCACTCCATGAAGTAGATATACTATCTGGCATTGTATTTGTGACAATGAAAGATTTGGAGGATAATTAATTCAGTCTTTTATTCTCCTAAAAACTAATTTTGTGTACTTGGTGTGAGAGCAAAACAACAGAAAGAACCCCCAAGAGCTAATGGAGAGCATTCTGTTTGATTTCAGAGAAGCTTCCTGGGCTATGCCAGTTTCAAAGTAGGGGAGCTGCTGAAGTCCAAGGAGCAACTGCTGTCCCTGAGTCTGAGGTGAGTCTCTTTGTAGAATGCTGTTAGAGTTAGTAACCTGGGATATGGATGGCCGGCTGGTTGCATTTGAGACTCACAGTTCTCACATATGTTACATTCCATTGCTACAAGCTCGCATTCCAGATCATGTTTCAGGTCCTATAACTTATTAGCTTGTGTTGGGAAAACAAATTACATTATCATTAAAGCGATGAAATTATTTGAAAGAATACAAATACAAATTATAATCATGCAATTAAATATTTTTTTATCAAAATGTAATACTTTTTTGTGATTAAGATTTTGTGTTTGAAATATTTTTGGTGCAACATTACACTAACATCTTTATGCTTGTAAAGAATGAGCTAATCTTTTAAATGTTGTCACTCTGGTATTAAATGTAAAACACAGCTAAGTTAAAGTCCAGTCACTGAAAAAGACAGATTATAGTTATTTCTGAGTAGAAGCACAATTTATTTTGATATCAAAGATGAGCACATAATCTTTATAAAGTTCAAGGTATTTTAGTATTAAAGAGTATGAAGTGAATATTTCTTTTTAAATTTGCAAAACATTTTATACAATCTGGCATTTCTAACCACATAATAAATTTATAATGCAGATGGCTAAAGAGCACTACCCTATAATATTTACATAGAATGAGTAGATAGAAAAATTGTACAGAACTCGGGATGGTGGTACACACCTTCAATCCTACCACTCAGGAGGCAGAAGCAGGTAGCTCTCTGTGACATAGAGGCCAGCTGGATGTACATAGCCAGTTTCAGGCTGTCTGGGGATACAGGGATACCCTACCTCAACAAACAAACAAAACAAAAAACAAAAGAAAAGAAAAATTATACAGAAAATTATTTGTAAATTACACAAAGTTTTTATTATGATAATACATAGATATTATTATGGGGAAACAAATATTGTCTTAAGCTTGTTTGTTCTCTCCTCAAAGAATTCTTTGCAACCAACAATTTATTTCACTAAATTTAAATAATTTTCGTTCAATATATTTCATTGAGCAGTCTCTGTCTTTTGGTGGAATCACTACTCATAGATTTCTCTTTTCCTGATTTAATTTCTCTGATCCTCACAGCTCTGCATTTTAAAATGAAAATATAATATTATACATTTATACAAACATTGTTAGACTGTACAGGCTGCGGAATATGAGTGAGCTCTGGGAGGTTGCCATGTTCTCTCCGACTTCCTTTTCAGTATAGTTATGAAAGTGGTGTCGTGGTATATTTTGTCTGGGAAGATAAACAGTTTTGTGATGCTATACCCCAGGAAATATTGCTGTTTTTATTGTCTGAATTGTAGAAGGCCAACCACAAAGACTAGCTGTTAATGTCACTGATACCCTGTAAGATACCATCGTCCTTGTATGAACTTTGGAGACGAGCCTCATGATCCTAGATTCAAGGTCAAAGGCATCAAACATTGAGCTCAAACAGAATTACTACCAGCCAAGGTGACATCCTATTTATTTATTTAGGTTCTTTTGAGATAGAATCTTCCCACGTTGCACAATCTGGTCTCAAACTCTCCATGCTTTGGCCTCAATTTCTCAATTACAGAGATACAGGTGTGCAGCACCATGCCTGCCCTGTCCAAGTTTTCTAGACCAGTTGTGGAGGACTTCTATATCTTACTGACCCCCTTTCATTTAAATCACCAAGATACTATCTAATAGTGCACCACTGAGACACAGAAACAGAAACCAGGGAACCAGAACTCTGTGCTGTTGTGTCTCCTTGTTTATTTTAGGTAGTCTTTCTATGGATCACTGGCTGACCTACAACACTCAGAAGAAAAAAGTCATATAGAACCCTAGAATTATATGAAAGCCAAAAAAAATATACTTTGGATTTGAATATCTTTGATTCCTGGTCATTTTATACCGATTCTATTAAAAGATCCTAAACTCAACAGAGAACTTTTTCTAAAAGAATATTAATTTTAAAACCAATTTGGAAATGGCTACATTATTCTCTCCCTTTTGTGATTTATTGTATTCCTGGACACCTTTCTCTATGAAACAAACAGATTGTAAATTATAGATAGATAGCCTGTAGATTTCTGGCACACAAGACATGATTGTTTTTTTTCTTTTGTTTTGTTTTGTTTCTGATGTAATTTATCTTTTTTCTACTGACTATCTCTGGGCTTCTGAGTTGGAAGAACATTAGGTCAGGGGTTAGGAGGTTTATTATTATTATTATTTTTGCTTTGCTTTTTTATATCCCTTGTACTAATTATTTTTTATGACTTTTATTCTTTTTATATTCCTGTTACTGTTTTATAAAAATAGAATTTAAAAAATTCACAGAAATTATAGCATGTTTGCCGCTGCTATTCTAAGTTGCTCACATTATGCATCTTTACTTTCCTGAAACCTGACTTCTGTGACTATGCACACTGTCTCTTTGGGACCTTTCTCCCAGGTCATTCAAATTCTAAAGCTCCAACTAGCTCCACAAAGGAGATTGCTTTCATGTGTCTAAGATGCCACACATGATTTCAATTTGAGATCAAGTATATTGGATTTTTTCTTACAAAAACTTAAAGAAATGTATATGTAATTTTCAGATTTCATTGGATATGATAAACATGTGTTTTTGAAATTGTACAGTAAAATTTGTTTATCTGTGTTAGGGAAAATGCCTCCAGTATATAAAGTGGTTCCTACTCATGTGCTGTCTTAAACAGCATGGCTCACTCTTTCTGAGTGTATCAGCATCCCAAGTGGACTTGGTGCCATTATTTAGTATTTACCTCTTTACATCTATATTCAATATTCTTTATTTTGTCACTTAATCATTGGCAGTTCTTCTCTCTTCTGACTCCTTCCATCTGTTAATTACATTTCTTCGAGTTGTTCTCCAGTTCTTTACTGTGTAGTTCTGGCTTCTGTAACACAATGCAATCAAGGTAGAATTCTTTTATAGCAGATTATAACTTTAATCATGGGAAATACTGAATAATCTTATGATGATGATAGTAGTCACAATAGCTCTGAGCACTGCTTTGTGTTCTGTCCTGAGCATGTATCAGAGATGGCTTATTTGACTCATTTCAAATCAGGCTGTAATGTTATTTTGATGTGAGGTGCTTCACAGAGAAAACCACTGAAAGTTTTGCAGAATGAAAGTTGTTGCTGGCCAGGGCTACACAAGGGTGTGAGAACCCCAGTATGTAGCCCTGAGCTATCTCTAGTGTAAGCTTTTATACAGAGAAACCATAACCAGGGGTGAAAAGTTTAAGTTCCCAAGCTTACAGGTGCAAAATCCCCTTAACAATTTCTATTCTATTAAGTAACAATTACGATTTTGCAGAAGCAAGACAAGCATAACCAACAGAAGTCATAAATCTGTAGTTAGCAGGTACACTTCGGGACACACTGACCTGTTCCCAAGATAACTGGGTCCTGCTGATGTGTGTTCCTATACCTTAGGCCAACTGCCTGATAGAGACTAGAGTCAGCCTAAACTTTCATATGGTGTAGCTACGGGCAAGAAAGTGCCATATCACATTTTGACCCATTCTGCAAACAAATGTAAATAAAGCACTTAAGTAATTTATCTATAATTGTAATGGTTGTAAATGAGAAAGGGTATGTACAAACCTAAAATCTGTGATTTTAATCGTTCACTTTTTGTCTGCCAGAGAAAAACTGCAAACAGGTTGAAATGTATGTCACATGTCACATACTGGTGGCTGAGCAAAAGCAAAGATTCAGGTACAGGACCATTTATCCATTGTTTTGTGCAGGTTTGATTCCCTCACAGCATCTGGTCTTAAAGTAGGTACCAATAAATGAACATTAACACTTTGGTGAACCTGAATATTAGCCATGACGGCAGAAAGCAGGAAGCAGCCTGCTAGTATAAAGGACTGAGGGAGATACATGAAATTTGTTTCCATCTCAGGATTACAGACATGGTTTGCAGTCCGAGAACTTGACAATCATATGCTCTACCAAAGTATACCAATCTTAGAGACACTGGAGTATCTCTTTCTCTCTCTCTCTCTCTCTCTCTCTCTCTCTCTCTCATTTTGTCTTTTTGAAATAGGGTCTCCCTGTAGCCCCAGCTGGTATAGAACTTACTCTGTAGATCAGACTTGGTTTGCTCTCATTGAGATCTGCTTGCCTTTGCTTCCTGAGTACTGGGATTAAAGGCATGTGCCACCATGCCATGCATTTGGCATATTTCATTATTATTTAATAACAGAGTAGAAAAGTAAATTATGTTATTGAGAATGCTGTTAGGAATTAAGGGAACAATCACATTGTTATTAAAGTATCTGAGCAAACCAACAGCCATGTGATGGAGGGAAAAGGGGCCAAACTTCTTTTCAAAGAAATTCTTTACAGAGCAGTAGAGGGATTGAAGTGTTTCATGCTTAGCTGGGCTTTACTGTCTGTCTCTTCTAAGTGTAGCTTCCCATTCGGTGCTTATTCATTCAGCAACATTAAGATCATTTTTTTATAGCTATGGCCAGAAATAAGTGAGTCCAAAAATATAAAAACAATATGGCAGCAATTTTTATTTTGCTGCTGATGTTAGTGATAACACATTTAATGAATAATCTATGAAGCATGTACTGGCACAAAATGTCTTTTAGACACTGTTTACATTTCAACTTATTCAATTTGTGCAACATCGTTGTTTTTGTTTTATGTTAGTATGTTTAGGATCCCACAGCTGACTCTTACACAAACAAGAGTAGAGCTAAGTACATGCTTACTCCGGATGTTATTCTTTATTATACTGCCTTGTAGAAGCTCACAGCTTTAGTAGAATCCTCTCTTCCTTTTGTACCTTTTATTCTACTTTTTGAAATGTTTATGGGTTTTATTTTGTTTTTAAACAGGGTCTCCCTGTAGCCCAAGCTGGTCCTAGAACTCACTATGTAGGCCAGGCTGGCCTCCATTTTAGAAAGACCTGCTTGCCTCTGCCTCCTGAGAACTGGTATTAAATACCATTCCTGGCAGTCTTAATTTC